GGGGGCTTCCCAGGACCCCCACTCTCTTCCTGGTCACTGTGGGGTGCATGGAGGCTGCAGCACAACAGCCTCGCCTCCCTCCCGAGCACCTGGGAGGAGGGAGGCCATGGTGTGGCATCCCTGGCTCTTGAGCACTGGGGAAAGGGGACAGTGATGGGGCAGGTTGGGAGGAGGCAGGCGGGACTTAGAGTGACATAATGACATCACACGGTCATCTTCCAGGAAATTTGTTTCATATAGAGAGAGACCAGATTCATCCAACAATCTAGTCTTTGAAATTTTGTACCTGTCCTATGTTGTTAAGCCTTTGAAAGACAGTTATTAATCACTATTAATGTTTTTGTTTGATTATCTATATTCCCCTTAATGAACCAGATCCTGAATAATGGATTCCTCCTTTATAACACAGGCCATAAAAAGTCCCCCACATAAATCCTACAGCATAGCTTTTAAAAAAGTCAAATCTTGATTTAAAAATGGTGAGTGTTGAAGCATCCACTATCACTCCAAGTAAATTTTCAAATGGCTAGTTACCTTCATTGTCAAAGATGCATTCCTTATTTTCAGTCTGAATTTGTGTAGCTTCAACTTTTCTGCTAGACTGAATATTTGTTCCCAACATAGATACTTACAGGCTATAATGAAATCACCCTTTAACATTTGCTATTAAGCTGAATAGATTGAGATCCTTGAATCTATCTCAATAAGTCATGTTTTCTAACCCTTTAATCATTCCTGTGATATTTTCTGTATTGTCTCTAATTTATCACTATCTTTCTTGAATTTTGGGCACTTAAAGTGGAGAACAGTATTCCAATAACAGTCACATCAGCGCCAGATACAGAAGTTAATTGCTATTTAACAATTAGATACAGAAGTTGAATGAGGAGTAACAGTTAATCGTGGAATGAGGAGTAACTTAGTTCGGATTAACTTTAAACTGCCACGTGTAGCCGCGGGCAGTTCGTTTGGACTAAGGGGGATTTAAAAATGGCGGCTGGACGGGAACATGCAAATAAAGCCTGGGATATTTAAATCCTGGGCTTCATTTGCAACCCCGGTTCCCTGATTTGCCTACCAAGCTCAAATTAATGAGCTAGTGTAGACATACCCAGTGCGCTGCTAGACAAACTCGTCCAGCAAGCACCTGCACCACTCTGCCTCTGCCTCCATCCTCTGGTTCATTGCATCTTGCATCCCTTGCAGGACTGAGATGGGCTGGTGCACCAGGTCCAAATATGGGCGCCAGTGCCATTGGGTTCCCTGCAGCTGTCTGGGTGGTGGGGCAGGTGTGGTGCTCCCCTCCTGGTCAGCTGGTCCGGCTGTGGAGGACAAGAGGGAAAAGTCGGCAGTCAAGCATGCTCACACTTTCCCTGAGAGGGCCTGCCCTCCTTCTCAGCTATTAGTGCCTGTCCTAGGGTCAGAAGATGCTCATGTAGGTCTCAATAAGGCATGGTGTGGCCTGGCCAGCAGCCATGGCCTCCCTGGAGCCCAGAAGGTGTGCAGGCCACCATCCTGCCCCCCCTCACACACACCCCAGGGTCAAGCAGCACAGACAAGTATCAGGCCACAGATGGGGTTCCCATAGGTTGCTGAGAGGCCTGAAGCTGTGTGGCAGTCCCAGCATCCCCAACCCATGCCTGCACCTGGCATCACTGCCTGCAGGAGCAGGTGGTGCCAGGTCTCAATAAGGCATGGTGTGGCCTGGCCAGCAGCCATGGCCTCCCTGGAGCCCAGAAGGTGTGCAGGCCACCATCCTGCCCCCCCTCACACACACCCCAGGGTCAAGCAGCACAGACAAGTATCAGGCCACAGATGGGGTTCCCATAGGTTGCTGAGAGGCCTGAAGCTGTGTGGCAGTCCCAGCATCCCCAACCCATGCCTGCACCTGGCATCACTGCCTGCAGGAGCAGGTGGTGCCTTGCAGACATGCAGGTGCAGGGGTGGCACAGCCCTCCCTGTGGTTGGCTG